TGGCAGTCTTCTTTCCAGGGTCCAGTGATGTACTCACCCATTCCTTCCCTTCTCTTCTTCTTCTTCTCTGCACGGCGCCGGCACCTCAACTGTGGGCACCAGGCTGTGACAGCTGCGCCTCCTGATTGGTCCAGCAGTCTTCTCTCCAGGGTCCAGTGATGTACTCACCCGTTCCATCCCTTCTCTTCTTCTTCTCTCCACAGCGCCGGCATCTCAACTGTGGGCACCAGGCTGTGAGAGCTTGCAGCTTCACAGCCGGGTGCCCACTGCACATGCGTGAGTCTCGCTGCGCCTCCTGATTGGTCCGGCAGTCTTCTCTCCAGGGTCCAGTGATGTACTCACCCGTTCCATCCCTTCTCTTCTTCTTCTCTCCACAGCGCCGGCATCTCAACTGTGGGCACCAGGCTGTGACAGCTTGCAGCTTCACAGCCGGGTGCCCACTGCACATGCGCCGTGGCAAACTGAGTCAGAAGTGGGAGCGGGTACCTTTCAGAACCAGGTACCAGCTCCCCCCCAAAAGGTGCCAAATATGGCAGTGGAGGGGGGGGGAGGCAAACAAGCGGAGCTTCCACTTTTGGGTGGAATTCCGCTTTAAAGTAACCTTTATCTAGGGCAGATCCTGAATTAAGTTTTATTGCTTGCCTGCACTGTAGTCTACAGAGAGGTTGACATTCTGGCTGGAACTGTATCACAAGACTAGTAGAAGAACAAATCCTTTGGAAAAAAGCTCTCCTGTATGTATTGCAACTGTCTTTATCTGTTTTGACTGGAGTTTCAAAACACCTGTCCGGTCTAATATAATTATTCGGCATTCCCTTGTTTTTCTGAAATGTGTGGCTGTTCAGTCTGTGCCGCTAGACATTGCTAAACTGGGTGCAGACTGGAACAATGTTTTTGGAAGGATCCTTCAATAACAAATGTGAGAAATATGTCAAGGTCAAGGCATTGTTTTCTTGGATGGGGTATGGTAATAGTGCTGAATTGGGCTGGATTGCATGTTGTTTGAGTTATAAATGTATTCTTCGGAGAGGTCACTAAGTCAGGATAGACACACAGATTTCATTGCATGTTTACACACTTCTATTTCACAATTCAGAGGAAGCAGGAAAGGGCACGTCATCCTGACGATTCATTGCTTACCTGTTAATGCACTCATTGGGGTTGATTTACTAAAACTGGAGAGTGCAAAATCTGGTGCAGCTCTGCATAGAAACCAATCAGCTTCCAGGATTTATTGTCAAAGCTCAATTGAACAAGCTGAAGTTAGAAGCTGACCATTTGGAAATTCGGGCACTGCCTGAGGGCCTGGAGTCAGTAGGGGGCCCCATGAGATGCCCCTGGTACCTTTTTCATAGGCTTTTTTGAGTTTGGGCAAGGACACAGGGGCCCCATGATCCCCTATTTCCCAGGGGCCCCATGAATTGTCAGTCTGCCCCTGCTCCCCCATGCACAGCTGCACCAGATTTTGCACTCTCCAGTTTTAGTAAATCAACCCCATTGGGGGTTCTGTGGATAAAAATGTTTGCTATCTCTGTAGCCACTAGTCTGACTCTATACAAAAGGCACACCAGGTTAAAGATACCTATTTAAAAAAAAAAAGTGACAGTTATTTTCAGCTCAGTCCAATGACATTTGAACATTACAGCCACATGGCTAAAACAAAGATTATTTTCCTTGTGTTAAAGGCATAGTCAACCTTTTGCAAAAAATGTAATAAAAAAAAGTGCATTTGTTAAATTTTCGCATCAAAGCTGTGTTTCATATTACACCCCAAAATGGATATAATATGAAGATGAAAGATGGAGGCCTCTTTTACATGGGCAGCCGTGGGGGGGCAGTAAATACAGTTGGTTAAGGCACAGTTTTAATTGATTTTGTCACTTTGAATCATTTTCTAAAGATTATGAACAATGTGAGAATTCCTGTCCACAGGAGAATTGCATAGGCTGCCAGTTCTATACCCACTGAGACTGCCATATGTACATAGTAACTTCAAAAACAATTTTTTTGACATTTGCTCTATAAAAATAAATTACATCATATGACGAGTGTCCCTCGTGTGGGTGGTCCTGTGATGGGTAAAACTAGTCATTTCATCCATCCCTGAAACCATATGTTTTTCTTTGGGTGATGTGCACAAAACAACACAAATAACTGGTGGGGCAAATAGAAAACAATCATTTCCATCTATCCCATGCTGTAAGCGTAGAACTTCCGGCACTGAGATTTACAGTTTAGACTGTCACACAATGACGGGTAGTGGGTCACCCGCTCTCCATCTTCCTTTCCACTCACCATTCACAAAAGGTCTTATATTCTTTTCACAAAATGCAAGGCATTCTGTGAATGGATGAGAGGAGTTTGTTATGTTCAGCCACGCCTCCTCTCCCCTCATCTATGAGCAGTGCAGCAAAACTGTCTACTTCTACTGCTTATCCCTTTCCCAGTCTATGCTCTCGTAACATATTGTATGCATATTATTTACCTGTAAAATCCCTCCCCTGTGTAGACATCTAAAAGCCCTGAGACTGCTGCTGAGCGCCACCATCTTTGATGTGATGTCAGCAACCCCAGCAGACTCACAAATATCACTCAAGTGACACTCTATAGTACTGCCTTTCATTCCTCCCCTAGCTGCTACATAAAAGGTTATCTTGGGAGGCGTCGAGGAGCTGGGCCAGCACAGAAAATAACAAGATATTTCCAGGCGAGAAGAGAGCTATGACACTCTAGGAGGAGGGGGAGCTGTGCTAGGGAACTGACTTTTCCTGAAGTAGTTACATTTGCCAGCAAGTTCAGAGGCACCTTACAAGTCTGTAAAAAACTGCAAGTAAGCATTTAAAATACTTTTTTTGTGCTTTTATCTGCAACTTTGGTGATAGGGTCACTTTTGAGGCAGATAAACAAAAATACTGAGCACAACAGAAAACAAGAGTCCCAAGCGTAGCAGAGTGACAGAACACATTGGCACATAAATATGTCTCTTTGGGTTGTATGTTCCCTGACCAGGTCGAGGCGCTACAGTAGCTGAAATAAATCTACAACTCCCAGCTGATAATCTATAAAGATCACTCAGGATTGGTATCTGCAGTATATAACAATGGAAAACCCCTTTGATGGAAATTCCCAGAAATGTCATGATCGCCTCCGGACAAACGTTACTTTCACTTTTTGTTACCTGGAATATTTGTGTTCTCAATGACTTGCATGTTATGCTGGTTGTGGGAGGGTGATAATTTGCATAAGTGATAGAATAAAAGGAATGTCATCTGCAGATCGCATTCTACCAGCGATTTCTGGTGGCAGATCAATACCGATGTGCTTAGGGGCAGAACGATGTTAAAGGTTAGGTGTTCTGTCTCTCTAATCTAAGCATTGAAAGTGTGATCTCTGTAACTTACAGTTGTGATGAGATAGCAATAACTCCAATCTTAGTTGAATAACACAGGCAGTGACTCAATCTAGACGACACCTTGTAGATCTTGTGAAGTTTATTCCATAAACTGAGAGAATCTTACAACAATGAACATCGGATAGATCAAAAGATCATAATGTGATCTACTTCATGAGACACGAGGCTTGAAGCTGAAGTGCATTACTGGGAAAATGAATAAAATGGTGGGGCTATCTATACAGCATGAACTAAATCAAAGGAAAGGGAGGAGCAGAGACAAAATACAAAGAACACAACCCCCCTGGAGGTATTCCTGAGTGTAGCTCGGGGGAAAAGTTTCAGTACCACAAGCAGTTATCCCGAGCTACAATCGGGCTTTCCATGCGGCGCTGCTCCAGATTTGTTCTTCACTTACCTTATCCTGCGCTCCCGCGATGTCCCTCCTGCAGTGTCCCATGTATTGTCCTCCTGCGGATGACGGCATCTGTCTTCTGGGTTACGTCCCCTGCGACGTCGGGACGTACGGGGGACAGAACTGGCGGGAAATTTGAAAATGACAAAAAGTGACATTCACTAAATACACTAAAATCACATAGTAAAACATTACTGTATCAAACCATTTCACATACATTTTGTCCCGAGTGCTTTGTCCTGTTTCCTGCCTACATTTTTTCTGTTCTTTCTGCCTGTAAACTGAGAAACATCCATGGCGTCCAAAAAGCGTCCCTTTAGGTCAAAAGTGGTTTTAGACCAGCTAGAGAACAGCGATAGTAAATTAGAACCACTTGCAGAATTGAGTGATAATGATTTGTGGGGGAAATTCGTCATCAGACACTGAAAACGATTTTGCAACTTTGCTCAGTGATGTGCGAACTTGGCGCTATATTTCAAATTTCAGTGTTTTTGGTTTAATTATATTATTGAATTAAATTTATTATTATTATATTATTATTTTTTATGATTATTTATTAAGTTATAATTTATGATTTCGTGGTTCAAATTTTATCATACCCGGGATGTTTACTAGACTCTTGTTCGGACAGATTTCAGTGAGTTATTCCTAAAAATTACAGGCCTACAATAAAAAAAATACATATTTCCATGCAAAAAAATGGTACCGCTTTGAGCACAGAAATATGGACATAATCAGACCACTAGGGAGGTTATAGGCATATGATAGTCACATGAAACATGAAATTAGGTGTCAAGACAGAACCATCTCCTGGGAAAGTGACAAAAGGCAAATAGACTGTGCAGTTTGCAAGTGCAGTTGCTCCAGAGCTTAGTAAATTAGGTAAAGGTTCACTTGCAAAGAATTCCCAAACATGTGCAAGGAAAGTAAAAAAAAAACAAAAAAAAACAGCATTTTTGCTTGCACATGATTGGATGATGGAAGTCAGCAGAGCTCCTGCTCATTTACTAAGCCCTGGAGCAACTTCTCTTGCAGAATGCAGTCTTTTTGCCTTTGATAAATCAACCCCTAGGTGTCAAAACAGAGCCATCTCCTGGCAAAGTGACAAAGAGGAGTATTTACTAAAGGCAAATAGAATGTGCACTTTGCAAGTACAGTTGCACTTATTTTTCTTACCCTAGGTTCACTCCTAACCAGGGGCGGACTGACAACTCATGGGGCCCCGGGCAATAGGGGATCATGGGGCCCCTGTGCCCTTGCCCAAACTCAAAAAAGCCTATGAAAAAGGTACTAGGGGCATCTCATAGGGCCCCCTACTGACCCCGGGCCCTCGGGCAGTGCCCGAGTTTCCAAATGGTCAGTCTGCCCCTGCTCCTAAGCATTTTCTGCAGCATTTTGCAGAAGTGCAGTACAGTCCATTTAACATGATCTCCTATGGGACATGTTCACATCTGTGCGTTTTCACCTGGTGTGTTTTTTGGAAAGGGTCAAGGACTTTTTTGAACGCAAAAAGTAGCATTTTTGGTTTTATAGACTTCAACGGAAATGCTGCAGAAAAACATGTATTGCGTTTTTGATGCATTTTGCATTTTAAATCTGCCTAGAAACAAAAAAAAAATCGAAACGCATCAAAAACGTGGCAAAAATGTATTGCAAAAAGCAATGCAGAAACGGCTCAAACGCAACCTGCATAGGTGGGAACCTAGTCTTAGTAAATGCAATGTGGTAAAGCTTCACTTTGTAAAGAATGTCCAATCAGGTGCAAGGAAAAAAAAACAGCATTTTTGCTTACACATGACTGGATGATGGAAATCAGCAGAGTTTTACCACATTTACTAAGCTCTGGGGAAAATGAGTGCAACAGCGCTTGCACAGTGCAACTGCACTTGTAAAGTGTGCAGTCTATTTGCCTTTAGTAAATCCACCCAACTGTTTGAGAAAACTCCCCCCCAACTCCACAGATACTCACCACTCCAGTGCTCCCTACCACTCATCTGGTGCCAGTTGTTTATTTGGTGGAATGCCCCTTTACGCACCTTCCTCAGGGTAAAACTGGGCTCCTTAAAACAGTATGAAACCCAAAACCAAAAATGTAATATATCGCAGCTTACAAATTATTAGATGTTGTGGCTGCATTAGTTTCCTTTTTTTGAAGCCCCCCCCCGCTGTTTTCACTTGGTGATCTGGCCAGTAACATACCTCCTGTATTAGAGTGCCTCCACTCTGGATGAAGGAGCACAGGGGGCACGTTTGAACAGCAGGATTGTTCGTCTGGGGGGAGGGGATTTTTAGATGTACTACCAGATTTAGATACACTAACAAATTTAAGCCAAACTTCGGCTAACACTGCAGTTACACAAGCAGTTACTGTAACCGTGTTTTTCTTTTTGGAATAAAAATTTTAGATGAATAACTAAACGCCCATCCTTGTAAGTACCCCTGTCTGGGGTAAATGGTTTGTCTCAAAAATCTTAACTGATACATTTGCAGCACAGCTTGTGCTGTTGAAAAACAACAGACTTACTGGCCAGATCACCAGAGGAAAGTAAAAGAAAGAGAAGCTTAAAAAAGGAAACCAATGCAGGCATCACATATAAGAACTGGTAAAGTACAATATAATAAATGTTTGCTTTTGAGTTTAATACCTATTTAATTATTCCCCACAATCCCATGAGCTCCCATCATCCTCCAGAATTCTGGACATTCTCAGGGGATATAAATTCTAGCTCTTCTTGCCTTTTGGTGCTTAGAGAGGCCCTGTCTGATGACACCGCAGTGACTGGGCACATGAGGTGCTGCTTCCATTGTTGTGTCTGGCATGAGCGCACACGGACATTCAGCTTCTGAACCAATTACTGTGGTGGGTATTGTGCCAGCAGACTTCACAGTACTGCCCTTCCAGTGGGGTGGCATTGCCATCAGCCACCTAAACTTCCAGACCAAAGACTCCTCCAGCTGCACCCTTTTGGTGCCTGCCCAGGGATCCCTGAGGCCAGCTACCCACGTTATCGGCTATAGCCAGCTTCTTAGTGAGGGATGTGTTATGCAGGCCATAGACGGGACGTTTATCGGCCGAATTGTCGGCCGATAAACGAAAAATCGGTCGTTGCTGACGCTGCCACCCATGTCCACGAAAAATGGCATTGCACCACTAACGGCGTGAATATCGGCCGATTTTTCGCGCGGATGAAAATTCAGCCGATAAATGTCCCGTCTATGGCCTGCATTACACCCTCTTCCCAGGGAACCAGCATTCCAGTTACTGTAATGGTTTTATTGGCTGTTATTTCCATATCTAAACCCCAAACCAAAAATGTTATAACTCACAACAAATCCTTAGATTTGGAGGATCTAATGGTTTTTTTTTTTTTTTTCCCCTTTATTTTCACCTGCAGATAACACATTTATTGTCCCTAGGGTGTCCACACTCATTTCCACCACTGTATCTATGGAGGAGACATGCTTGTTGGACCATCCTACTCTCCTGATTTGGACTACAAATATATCTTTCTCGCTTTATTTCCATCACATGGAGGGCAGGAAGATAATATTGTTTGTGGACACTGATTTTCTGGCAAGATCAGCGGGTATTTTCTGTACTGCGGCAGCTGTTCTGCCAACAATTTTCTGCCCGTTTCCTTTCATTTTCCTGGACTGAAAGAACTACCTCTCCAGCGCTTCAAAGGGGTCAATGCCAGGAAGAAACCAGGGAATCAGACGTATTAGTATCCTTGGAGTAACGTTTTGGTGATGCAGCCCTCCTTTGACTGGGAGATCAAACCAAAACTGGAAAAGAAGCACACAGGTGGCACAATGAGTATGTTTTCTGGTTTTACATTTTTAATAAACCTTGGATAATGCGCTAGGTGTTTGCGCCACCTGTGTGCTTCTGTTTCCTCTCATTTTTAGATCAAAGGATTTCGGGTGGGAAGGTCCACTCGGGTTGAATATTAGCCAGTTCATCAGAATTCACTCCATGTATTTCCATCTTAACCACTTCCGGTCCAGCCCATTTCAATAAACGGCCGGATGGCAGCAGTACAGGAGTAGGTTGCGGTTCGTAAACGGCGCCCACATTTTCGCCTGTGCATCCTCCGGAGGACACAGCAGAACACTGATTGCTGTACGGGACCTCTGTGTGAGGTTCCGATCATGTGATCACTGATTGGCCAATCAATGATCACATGAATAGTAGTAAGCAAGATGTCACTTCTGACATCATTGCTAACTGCATGTGAAATCTGTGAATGATCACAGAGATCACATGGTACAAGGCTATTCACAACAGGCTTGTACCATGTGACAAGCTGCGACCAATCACAGCTATCACAGTATTTCTCATGGCTGCAAGAATGCAGTCAGAGAGGAGAAATTATTGCTTTTACAACCTTTATAAAAAAAAAATCTTCACACCCCCCCTCAAGCAGTACAGTGTCACTATAGTGACACTGTACTGCTAGGGTGATAGTATGTTAAAAAAAATAAAATAAATAATAATAAAAATTTAATTATATAATTAATGGTTATAAACTAATTTGGGTTATTTTTTTTTTTACTAAAAAGATAGCTGAATACATTTTGGCCAAGATTTATGAAGAAAGATTATTTATTTGCAAAATTTTATAAGAAAAACACTTTTTTCAAAAATTTTGGGCTTTTTCATTTATATAGCAAAAAAAATGAAAATCCCAGTGGTGAATAAATACCACCAAAATAAAGTTTTATCTGTCTTAAAAAATGCTAAAAAAATGAATATGGGTACAGTGTTGCATGACCGCGCAATTGTCACTCAAAGTAATTATGTGCAAGCAAAAATTCTTGTTTATTAAAAAAGTTTCTTTGTTTTTCTTTTGCATACAGAACACCTGCCATGGAAATTTGGGGGCTGTATTTGTGGCCTTATTCTGACACTTCTAGGTGTCTGGCTGTGTCTGCTTTCAATATTTCTGAAATAAAGACATATCTAAAAGTCCCCGGGACATGAACGCTTATTTGTACAGAGCAGTGAAAGGAAAGTAATCATTCAGAGAGTTCACTGGCTCAGGTTAGGCAGCTCACATAGAACAGAGCTACCCTCCATTTGGGCACCCAGAAGGTCACTTGAAGGACCACAGAAGGAGCACCAGACCAAATAGTCCAAATGGCTTTCAGAGTTCACACCTAAAACAGCCAACACATATAGAGGAACAAAACATCCCCCCTTCATCAGGGCTTTGGATCTTGTCAGAACTTGAATGGACTGAATGCAATGGATTAATCCTCTATTAATCTGTATGGGTAAGAATTACCTGGATCCGTCAATCATCAATAGTACAATCATTATAGGCAGTAATAGCCTTTACTATTCGGTCTGCCACTCATTCCATGGTTCTGTGTTTCAACTGACCATGGACAGGCTTGCAGCAAACAAGTGTCAGGGAAAAGAGGCAGAAATCATTATATCTACACTTGTTCCAAGTCAATAAATCAAAGTATTGAACCCAAAGAATCATTTTATAACAGCCAAACAACTAGAAGGAGAGATCAGCAATAGCACTCTGGATATTTGTCTCATTTATTTATTTATTTACAGTTGCAAGTAAAAGTATGTGACCCCTTGGGATTATGTGGAGTTTTGCATGAACTGGGCATAAAATGTGCTTTGAACGTCATCTAAGTCACAACAATAGAAGACCACAGTCTGTTGAACATAATACTACACAAACACTAGATGTTGCCATGGTTTAATTGCACATAACATGTAAACATTCACAGTGCAGGGAGGAAAAAGTATGTGAACCTTTGGATTTAATAACTGGTTGACCCTCCTTTGGCAGCAATAACCTCAACCAAACGTTTCCTGTAGTTGCAGATCAGACCTGCACAACGATCTGGAGCCATTTTGGACCACTCCTCTTCACAAAACTGTTTCAGTGTAGCAATATTCTTGGGATGTCTGGTGTGAATTGCTCTCTTAAGGTCATGCCACAGCATTTCAATCGGGTTGAGGTCAGGACTCTGACTGGGCCACTCCAGAAGGCGTATTCTGTGCTGTTGCAGCCATTGTTTTGTTGAATTACTTGTATGCTTTGGGTCATTGTCCTGTTGCATCACCCATCCTCTGCGGAGCTTCAGTTGGCGGACAGATGGTCGTACGTTTTCCTGCAAAATGTCTTGATAAACTCTGGAATTCATTTTCCCATCAATGACAACAATCTGTCCAGGCCCTGAGGCAGCAAAGCAGCCCCAAACCATGATGCTCCCTCCACCATGTTTTACAGTGGGGATGAGGTTTTGATGT